GTGATAATAAATGTTCCAATAGAATTTCCCACTTTGGGATGTATGGTTTAGCACCCCATTGTTGTGGCCAGACACTATCTTCTTGGCCACACAGCCATGATTTCAGAATAATAGCATCTCTCCTGGTAAGTGGAAGGTACATGGTGTTTGGAATCCAAAGTCCTGGCTTGATGTCCCAGCTCACTTGTTTACTAACAGCGTTTTCCTAAAAAGCTTATTTTACTTCTTTAAGCCTCATTTTATTTATTTGTAAAATGCAGTAGTAATAATGACATTTACTCTCAGAGAACAATTGGAGGGAGAGATAAGTTTGGCTAATGTACTTAAGAAACTGCTTCACCATTACAAATATTAGAAATTAAATACATCATCAAAATACTCCTGCTCTAAATGCTCTCCTCTCAGGGTATAACAGTGAGCTAATAATAATAATATGCAACTCATATTTCAAACCCCAAGCGCAGATTCAAATCCATGCAAGGAATCCATTAAGCTATACGTTTAATAGGTACACATTATTATATGCAAATTGTGCCTTAAAAATAGAAGAAAATGCTTAATGCTTGCAAATTGTTTCACACAATACTCTTTACACTGAAGTCTCTCCTGGGTGTCTATTCTTATTGGAGTTTTGTAGGTAATGGCCTAGGATGAGGTCCTTTGTATTTCAGTTTCTGAATTTCCTGGGCAGGGAGATCTGGTCATTACCCTGACCTCGAATGATGTTCCCTGGTTCACAGAGCCACAGCACAGTTGCAGGATGGAGGTCATGACTGTTTTCTTTGTATTGGCTCATTGGCTCTTCTGGGTGCATAATCATATGCCACATATTGCTATGAGCAGACAGTAACTGAAAAAAATCAAGCATGGCAGTACCCAGGTCTTCCTGATCACAACCACATCTTAACCAGCTAGCACAATCTTAGAATTCAAAACCTCACAATTTGAGGTAGTGGAATATGAGCTAACCTTAGGCTAATATCCTCATTGCACACAGGAGGAAACTGAGGGTGGTATGATTTGCCCAGGATAACCCAGAAAAATCATAAAGGTTGAAGCCACTGATTTCCGGTCCCACTCCTTGTATGCACACACCAACATCTTTGGAACTTAGGATATTGATTCCTTTCTCCTAAATGCACCAGACATTAAACATGACACTGCACAAAGTTTCCAGGATTTCCAGTTATGATAGTTAAATTGAAATGTTACGACATCTGCCCTATTTTTCAACCAATTTCTCAACATAAAAACCATGCCAATTATTCAGCATTTAGCTCATTTAACTGAAGCACTGAAGAGTGACTGTGATCTTGAAGTTTAACTACATGAGCTGAAAAGGAAGGAGAGACATTTTTCTGTTTCAAGAACATGGGATAGGGACACATCACAGAAATAGGGTTCCAGTCCTGACCCTTCTACTAAGCTAGCTGTAAAACCTTAGCCAAGTCTCTTTAAACTTAGGTTCCAAGGAAGGATATCAAAAGGTTAATCAGCCCCTAGAAATTATTGGCAAAATTTGATGCATGTGCAACTTTGATAAGAAGTGGTTTTTGTGGTTTTCATCAGATTTTCAGAAGGGTCTCGGACTCAAAATTTCATGAGCTATTGATTTAGACATTCTCTTAGCTTTTTTCCAATTTTGAAAATCTGTGACTCTAACTTAAAAAAAAAAGTATGTCTAGTTCATCATTAAGTACCTTCATGAAATCCACTCGTATGTATACAAGACAAAAATAGGATGAGACAAGATATGAGCCTACTGGGGGAAAAAAAAAAAAATATATATATATATATATATATATATATATATATATATATATATATAAAATATCTCATTATTATGCCCATCATCATGACCTATCCCAGTGGCCTATACTTTCAAGTCTTCCTTGAGCTCATTTTCTGGGAAACCAAACTCTTTCCCCATCCTCTCAGACTGAAATATTTGCACTCAATATTAAAAGCAATGGGCACTACCAAGTGTTTATGAGAAGGGAGAAAGATCATGGTTATAGAAATTTTGAATTCCAGATCCATGTACCCCACCCTCATTTTACCAACAAAGGAGTCAGAACAAGCACCCAGGGAGCTTGCCAGACTCCCAAGTCCAAGTCCTTTGCATTCTACCAGCTACTTCATAAGGTAGCAGTGTACAGGATGGAGGAGAGAGGTCAGGTAGGTCACAAATGTAGCATGGAATTATGATGTCCAGGAAAGTTAAGGTGGAATCATGAGGACCCTAACAACAGGGGAGGGTTGGGGTGGTATTTGAAGGGGTTGGGGTCCCCCTTCCTATTCCGCAGGGTTCAGAGCACTACTTGTTCATTCACTACTTGTTCATTCACATCATTTGACTTCACTTATTGGCTGGTCCAGAAGTTAAAGAATCAACTGGCCCATCCTTAATGAGACCCTGGACTCTCTCAGCCTTCTTAATTCCTCTGCTGTATTGTGCATTTTCTAGGAAAAGAAAAGCCTGAAATCAAGCCAGCCATAATCAGAAGCAGCCCCAGAACTGTCCCTTTAAAGGCCCAGAGATGATTTTAAGATTCAGGCAATTCTGTGGATTTTCTTTTTGGCTTTTCTAAAGAGTCCTCAAGCATATCAGGGTTCAAAACATCTTTGTAATCAGGGGCTAATCCAGTCAGCAGAACTGCTTCCCCTGGGGGCTCCTGATTCCTGCAGAGATGTCAACTGGGGAGGGGTTCCCTCAGTGTTGTTCCACTCTGATGTCTGTCTCTTCCTTGAACAGTTTAATCAACTCAGAGTCCAGATGTCATGAGTTCAAGGATACCTGACAAAGTCCTACATGTAGCAAAAGATTAATAGTAGATGTGAACAATGAAAATCCAGTTGTGCATAATTCTAAGTCACAAGTCCTCTTTTCTCTTATACCCAGACCTTAGTTGTGAAATTTTATAAAGGTAGACCCAAGGGCTGGGGATATAGCTTGATGGTATAACAGTTGCACAAGGCCCTGAGTTATATCGCCAGTGCATCAAAACTCTCTCTCACACGCACGCGCACACACACACACACACACACATACACACATACAGGACAGACCCAAGACAGAAATCAGAGAGATAACTTTAATGATGAAGGCAGGGTTGTATTTTCTCACCAGAGGAATGATTGTGCACAGTAGGCACTCAATAAACAAGGGCTGGTGAATTATGACATCTTTTGACCCATATCTTGCTCAGATCCTCCTTTCTCCTGAACTAAAGCTGATCATCACAGGTGTTCACAACCAGGTACAACAGCAGATGGCAACTGATCATAAGGACCAGTCAGTTTTCACTTCCACCGTTAACTGTACTTGACCTACCTGCAAATCCCATCTCTGCTAACTATGAGCTCATGGCCTTGAGCAAGTTATCTGACCTCTTTACACCTTGATTTCTTCATCAGTAAAATGAGGTTAATCACAAAGGGTAGCCAATAGAGTTGGTATAAAGAATAAAGGAGTTAACAAAATAGTACATATAAAGTGCTCAGTATAACAAGAACCTAATAAGAGGACTCCAATGTTTGAGTCTACTAAACATCTGGTAATTGAGAACTCAGTGGTGAAGGAGACAAGGTGCCATCCAGCTGGGTCAGATGTGCAAAAGGGCATATGTTGCAAAACTTAGCCAAAGGCATTTCCCATCCTATTTGAGTTTAGGTTAGCCCACCTCTTCCGTTCCACTAGCTTGGGTGATTACCAGTCTGAGTGTGGCCTACAGTTTGTAAAGTTCCAAAGAAAGAGAGAGCTCTGGCCACCTATCCCAAGCTGGCTCTTTAGTGCCTCTTCACTTTTGTTTGCTGTTTCTTCTAGACATCAGCTTCCCTCCATCACCTACTGTTGTAGGTTTTCAGGGCTAAAAGAGCCTTAGGAACAATCTCATTTTGTTTCACAGCTAAGGAAACGAAACCCTGAATAATGAGTAAGCTGGCAGAGATCTTCCAGCTAGTCATTTCAAACTGGGGACTAGTTCTGCTAGTGCTTCCCTCAGTGTTTGTCTGGTGTCCTGAGCAGGACCATCAGCCATCCTCCACCACCCCAGTGGGCTCTTTGATTTTTGAATTCCTGGTAACTTTGGGTCCTTTCTCCAGGTGGACCCCAAGCTTGCTTTCATGGTACGCTGTGAATTTTCTTTAGTTCTCTCTGCTGCCTCCCCTGTCCTGACCACTCACATAGTCTCATTCCCCTTCTCAAACCTCGGGCTGCTCATTCCCTGCGGGGTCCTGTCCTGCAAACCCGCCTCTCCCTCTCCAGCCTAGGTAAGTCAACCTACTTTAGGATGTCTGAGGCCACAAAGGGACACCTAGGAGGGCTCTTCTCTCTCCAGAGCATGTTTTAAGAAAAAGTGGTGCTCGCTCTGTTTCCATTCGTTTTAAGTCTTCATCCCCTTCCCTTCGCTCGGTCCCCGCTATCCTGTTCTGCTTCCCTATCTTCCCCGTTCCCCCTTTTCCTTCCTCTACGCGTCGCCTTTAGTGCTTGCACCTTCTCATGGTCCTTGCGCTCTTTCCCCTTTTCCTTCTCTCCTTTCCTGCCCAGTCTCTTCCCCTCTCTCTTCCTCTTACCCTACAACACATCTGTTTCTAATCTGAGCTCTCAGAGGCGCCTGTTTGAAACAAAAAAGCTCCCCCCACCCTCAGGAACCTGGCACAAAAATTCCTGGATGAACCTTCCCTCCCCCAATTCTCCTGAAACCAAATACCTCCCTAAGAAGGACCCTCCACATTAAATGGTTCACGGCCAAACTCGACTAGGAAATGCCCCCCAACCCCCAGCCAGCTCAAGGGCCCAGATGTGTGAGACATTTTCGATGGCCGACTGGGCGGTCCTCCGCTGCCAGATGCGCTCCTGCGTGGCGGGTAGGCAGGGACCCAGTGGTCCGCGCACTCAAGGGCTACGGGGAACCACGGTGCAGAAGGCGAGTCTTCCCGGACGCTGGGCTGTGTTTGCCCCGAGCCATCCAAACTCCCGCCCTCCCCGAGGCACTCACCTAGCAAGAGGAGCGGGAGGAGGGACATCCCGATTCTCGGACGCGGGCACTTCCCCGCTCAGCGGCTGCCTGGTTGCTGGGCGGCTGGGCGCAGCCGACAGACCTTTGGATAGCTGGGCGCGGCGCTTCGGGGTGCGCGCTGGGGGCTGCAGCCATGTGCGGGCGCAGCAGCCCTCCCCACGCCTTGTGTCCCCAAGCCCCTCTCCCGGGTCCCCGCGCCTTGCGCTCCCAGGCACCGTGGGGCTTCCAGCGCTCGCCCCACTAGCTCGCACTCGGACCTGAGCCCGGAGTAGGGTCGGGGGAAAGAAGGCGAGTAGGAAAGGCACTACTGCTTCAAGGAACACTTTTCCCTGTTTGGAAAGAAAAACGAGTGGAGAAAGAGGAGGAAAAAAAATTGAGCTGGAACCACATGGTTGCCTCCTACCGCAGCCCCTCCCTCCTGGCTCCCTCCCTTCCTCCCTCCCTCCTTCTCCGCGTTTGGGGTTAGCTGTGGGGGCTGCTCGGCGGGGGAGAGGCTAGAGTTGGTCCGGGCGGGGATCTATCTCGGAGTCTGGAGGGAAGGACGCGGGGGAATTGGGGTCGGTCCGGAGGCGGTTTGGTTGCTGGAGGCGCTGGGTGTTGGGTAATTGATTCTGTGTAGGAGAGAAACAGTAACACTTCGGCCAAGAGCCGTAGGGTGAGGCCTTGTTAATTCAATTCTCTTTCTGTTCTCTCCATTTCTCTCTTGCATCTCTTCTTCCGTCTCACACACCACTCTTTGCTTCCATTTTTCTTCCAACTCAGTTATTTCTCTTCTCCCTTAAAATTTACATTCTTCCTACTTCTCTTTTCTTTTCTCCTCCTTCCTCCTTTCTCCTGTCCTTTCCCTGTCGGGTTTGGGCAGTAGGAAGCTACCAGACCGATCACTTAGACAGTAGAGCATGGACGTGGGTTGTTAAGACAGTCTCCAACCGGTTTGGTGGTTGCATTTCCAACTTAACTGCCTGTTCTGGCACCTCGCAGCCACACTTTGTCTGGCTTTCCCTTGACCTTTTACGTTTGCTCATCCTCTCTTGTCGTTAGTGTTCGCGCTCTGATCTGGGCAAAGCTAAGCTAGCCACCGTCCTAGTGAAGTGGGGATCCGGATCTTGATAGGATGGGGTCCTTCAGGAAACGTAAGAACGAACTGCATTGCACAGGGCCCTGGCAAAACTGGCACCATCCCGTTTCAGGAAAAAGAAGGTAGAGGAATGAAGTCCTCCGAGCTAGGGCGAGCACTCCCTGGGCACCCGCGACCCTGCCAAGGAGGCGCACACCTGGAGTCTGGCTGCTGAACAGGACAGAGCGCAGTCGCCTCCTACCCTTATTTGGCCTTAGGGGTTCGGTACTTTAAGATCCGGTTGCTCAGTGGCGGCGAAAGGGGACCGGCGGAGAAAAGAACTGTGAGAGCGGCACTCAGGTCTCACTGACTGGAGCCTAGACGGTGAAACCTGTACCGGGCCTTCCAGAAAGCTGGGACCTGCGCTCTCTGGCCCCAGTCTCTCAATGCCCATAGAAGGCTGGGTGAGGATACAATCGCTCACCTTCCTTCACTGGAGTCTAGACTGGGAGCTGGGGCCACAGCCTGAGAAGCTGGGCAGCTGCCAGATTACCCCAGAGGGCTAGTGGCCTACTAGGTCACATCTTCGTCTAGTTTTTCCATCCCTCTGCCCAAGACCTTTAGTCCTAACTGGCTCAGTCCTTACAGTTGTAATGAAAACCAGTTCCATTTCAAAGGTGGAGGAAAGCAGAGGCCAGGACACTCAAATGTTAGCAAAAGCAGGAGCTCTGAGATCTGATGTAGAGTTGCCTTAGTAAAATTGCAGTATTTATTCATGCACTCCTTTTGTAACTATTTCTTATGCATTCACTCAGTGCCATAAGATGTCTTAGGTGTGGAGGACACAAAGTGACTATAACTTGGTAATTAAATTTTGGCACCAACTGTGGACCAGGATTTATATTAATTAATGTTTTATTTTTATTTAATTCTTATGACAGTGCTAACTGGTAGGCATTTTAAATTCCAATTTAGGTGAGGAAATGACAACTTAGGGCTAAATATTTTGCCCTAGATCACAAAATAAATATCAAAACTTCTCTATTCCAATATTAGCATTATAATTTAATATTTTAAAATACCACGTTTTTAAGCATCTATTTTTCAGTTGTAGTTGGACACAATACCTTTATTTTATTTATTTATTTTTATGTGGTGCTGAGGATCAAACCCATTCCTTGCACATGCTAGGTGAGCACTCTACCACTAAGCCACAACCCCGGCCCCTGAATTACTACATTTTCTATTATGAAGTATTTAAGGTTTCTTTGACTCTGAAGTAATTTTATTTTTCATTTTATATTTCTTGTGTAATGGGGAAAACAAATGTATTCACAATTATAATCCCAATATAAATGTGTTGGAAAAAAAGGATAAAGAACAAGGAAGGAAACTACACAGGGAAAATAATTTTTTGTTTGTTTTTTAATTTGTTAAATTTTTTGACAAAATTTTAGACTTACCAAAAAGTTTTTTAAAATAGTACAAAAATTCTCGGGGCTGGGATGTGGCTCAAGCGGTATCGCGCTCGCCTGGCATGCGTGCGGCCCGGGTTCGATCCTCAGCACCACATACAAACAAAGATGTTGTGTCCGCCAAATACTAAAAAATAAATATTAAAAAATTCTCTCTACCTCTATCTCTCTCACTCTCTCTTTAAAAAAAAAAATAAATAAAATAAAATAGTACAAAAATTCTTAGATGCCCTTTATCCAGATTCCCCCTCTTTATTTCTTCCTGGGGAAGTGTATTCGCATGTTTTTAAGGCCCCACCTCTACTCCTCCATCACTGGTGGCCTTTCTCATGGGCCTGGTTACTCTAGGCTGTTTATTGCTTGAGGGCTGGTTTGTACATAAAGACAGATGTGTGTGGGTGTAGGCAGATGTGCTCAAGTCCAAGGTATCAAGATGCTTTCAGTTCAAGGTCATTAGCCGTCAACACAGGAAATGATTTGGTCAGGCTGAGACTGGGTCATAAATACTGTTTTCTCAGGTCCAAAGTCTTATAACCAGTAGGTATTTGGTTCACCATCCTGGGGGAGGGCTTTTGGCCCCCAGGAGATTACTATCCTTAAATTCAAAGCCTCTTTTCTGGGCCATCCTTGCAAAGTAAGAGTGCTTCTGGTGTGGCCTATAACTCAGCAATCCATGCCCTACCTATTCTGGGGTCAACGGATTATGCTTGCGTGCTGTGGGAAACCCAAAGAACCAGGTGGTGGCCCTGACTCTTAATGGCTCTCCCAGTGTAGCAGGAGAGAAAAGATCTCATGTGAAATGTTTCAACAACAATGTCAGAAAGTAAAGTGTCAGAGTAATGACCCTGACAATGAAACAATGGAAGTTCTGTGACAGGAAAGCACACTAGGCTAGTGTCCTTGAAGAAAGCCTAAGCCAGGTCTTGGGGAGGAATCGAATTCATTAGATGAGGGGATCTGGGTGAAGCCCTGGGTGGGGCATTCCTGGACAAACACATGGAGTTGGGTATCGCTTTGGTGTATTTAGAGGGCATTGAATGAAATGATATATATGAAATGAAATTGAAAATTGGAGCAAAATACCTAAGACAAGCCAAAATTGTGAAGGATTCTTAATGCAACGCAAAGAATTCTGGAACTTGTTCTGCATCTTCTCATCAAAAAGATGTTAACAAAAATACCTTGATGAGAACCACAGGATGTGTAAATCGGCAACTTCAGTCCAGAGGTGAGGTCAAGGGTTGGGTAGTAGTGGGTCATGTCTTTCATGTCCATCCATCTTCCTACCCCATGCTTTCATATGGATAAAGGACATTATTATCTCAGTATTTTGTAAAGTGATATGTGTCAGGTAGCTAGCAAGCCATGAAATAGGTGAGTAGGAACAGGACGATGAAGGGCAACTGAAAACCACAGGAAGCCTTACAGGAAGAAGGGACCTTGGTATATTAAAACCTCCTCCAGCTGCAAATTATATCCCTTAAGAAAAACTATTGCCCACAGGAGGATCAAAGTTCAAGGCCAGCCTCAGTAACTTAGCAAGGCCCTGAGATAAGGAGATCCTGAACAACTTAGTGACACCCTGTCTCAAAATCAAAAATAAAAAGGGCTGGGGTGTGGCTCAATGGCAAAGCACCACCCCCTTCAATCCCCAGCAAAATAAATAAATAAGCAAATAAATAAATAAATAAAAGCTATTGTTTTAAGATTATGTCACACCCTCCCAGGTGACTTCAATCCTCCCTTGTCACCAAACCATCACAATTCCCAATGACCCTGGCAACCAAAACACCAAGACCCTCACAAAAAAGCTTGATGCGGGCTATTCCAAGAGTAATAAACTGAGTAAGGGGACAAGAAATTAAGGCAAAAATGGGGAGGACTCAATTTTCTTAAAAACTCCAACTCTAAAAGCAATATACCATGCTTTCTTGGAAGTGGACCGTGTAGTTCCTATGCTGTCCGTCAAAAGACAAAAGTTGTATCTGGGCAGAACTCTCTAAAAACTTCCCTGGGATCCCCTCAATAAAACTAGAAGGAATGCTCGGTCTCTCTCCCTTGAAAGTGTCATCTTTTCCCTTTTCCTATCCTTTCTAATAAACTCATTCCTGTTGCTCTGACAGAGATGTTGGGAAATCTTCCTGGCACAATTGCTGCCTCAGTTTTATGGCAGGTCTCTGCCCTGTAACAATCTGCATATGCAGTTTCAAGTCTTCTCCCGTATGGAGTGCCAAAGAGTGCTACCCTAAATATCTCCTCTGTGGGGATTCTAGAGCCACCAGAATGGGGGACAGCATGATGCATTGGAAGGGAAACCTGAAGCAGAGAGACTGGTTAGAATCTGTTGCATTTGAAGGGCAGATGACAGAAGGGTAACAAAACAAAACTAGAAATCTTTGGGAAGAAAGATTGGACAGGGTTAAGAATTTAACAATGATTGTGGGTAGGACAGGGAATGGCCAAGAAAAGAGGCACCCAAGATGAGTGTAAGAGAGCTAATATATTGTACACTAAGAAATAGCAGCAATTTGATCACTTCCTGCAAGTAAGCCTCACAATATCATATTACAATGAGGAAAATTAGGTTCATAGAATTAAATAAATTACATCCCATTCTATGGTTAGTAAATGATTAAGGTG